GTATCAATTCGATTGATCAAGTTAAACCCAAAATGAGATTAAAACATGGCATGGTTATGTGAATATCAATATGTAAGTGTGTGCAAGCATACATGAAGTGTACAAATGGGTGGAAAACATACATCCTTAAGTGAGCAAAATAAGATGGAAGCAATACTTATTTGAAATAAAAGTGGCCTTAAGGCCTCATTAAATGATTTCTTTGAGTATCAAGTACAATTATTGCAATTTATACCACATACTTATAATTAAATTTCCCAAAGATACATGTCACCTCAATTACCACATCCGAATGAACTACAATATGAAATCGCAATAAATACCCATATACATTACATTTCTAAAACAAATAAAAGATGCGTCCTCGTTATTAGCTTTGCCTCAACCTGAGAGGGGAATCAACAAGGGGTGAGCTTACAATGCTCAGTAGGAAATATGCTAGGTACATACATATACTACATTCCTTTGGCCTCACAAGAGTAGCTCGTGTCAACAATGCAAAGGGACATGCTCCCTAACGTCTATCTCCAGGAAGTTCCTTAAAGCATCATCCTAAACTACCAATTGCACTTAGGCATATCAATTTCATTATATGTATCTCAATTTAAGTATACAACATCCACTTCATTTCTAGTAGTTATTGTTGAAATATCTGTATTATTATTATTTTTATTTTATAGTTGTTTTATGTAAGATCCCTATTATCATGGGATCACGTAGATAAGATCTCCATAATCATGGGATCACGTAGAGTTTGGCATATTTCCTGTTTTTCTTTGATTTGGTTTCCTTTCGTTGTACGCTATCCTTGTATATAAATATAGCTCTTAGCTCTCGGTTTGAGTACGCCAAAACCCAAAACTTCTTCTTTTTGGTATCAGAACAAAACAAAAACCTCTGCCTCCCCAACGCCGTCACCTTCTCTCTCCCTCTCTCCATTTTCCCTCACCTCCGACGCACCTCCACCTCCTCCCAGCCCTTGCGCCGGACCCCTCGGGTAACCCTCTGGTTTTTTACTCCTTTTTAGGAGAATTCCCATAGGTTTTTTATGACGTAAGGGTCCTTTTGGTGTTTTTTTTCTTTGTGTGTTGCCGGTGTTTGTTCAGTAGCATATTTGGAGGAAAACGCCGATATTTCCGGCCTTAATTTTTTTTTTTTTTGCTCTTTCCTCCTGCTTTGACGTGTGGACCAACCTTATTTTGGTACTATGACTGATTCTAGTAGGCAAAAGTTCACTTTATCCTCGGTCCAGCATAGTTTATCTTTGGCACATCATACTCCAACACAGCAGGTTACTAGTGTGCTCTTGAATGGGCACAACTTTGTATTTTGATCCCGTTCTCTTCAACTCTATATTGAAGGGAAAGGGAAAAATGGTTGGCTTTTGGGTCTAGTCAAGGAATCGGAAAAGATGGATACTAAATATATTGCATGGGACATGGACAAGTGCACCATTCTGGGTTGGATCTTTAACTCAATGGAGGAGCGTATCTATAATATGTTCATGTTTCACTCTTTTGTTTTTCGTCTGTGGCAAGCCCTTAACAAGATGTATGCCCATTCCCGCAATGACACTTGTATCTTTGAACTTTACCAGGAGATTGCTCATGTATCTCAGGAGACACTCAAGTTGTTAGTATCAGAGTATATTGGGTACCTCCAGTCTAGGTGGGAAGAATTAGCACAGTATGAACCTCTCTCCAATTTCTCTGAAGAAGCTGCAACTCTTTTGGTCAAGAGACTGGACCGCCAGCAAACCTACCTGTTTTTTATGGGTTTATGATCCAAGTATGATGCTCATAGAACTCAGATCATAAACACCTCTCCTATGCCTAATTTATATGATGCCTTTGCTACTGTTGACCATGAGGAGCATAGACGTCAGATCTCTCAGCCAGTAGCTTTACTAGAGACTCCAGTTGATCAGATGGCTCTTGCTACTAATTCTAGACTTTCAGAGTGGAGCCATGGGTCATGTAAAGGATCGTTGCTCTTAAGCTTCATCCCGAGCTAAAGCAGAAATTTTCTCGCAATCATCCTTTTGGCTGTGGCCGCACTGCTGTAGTAGCCGATACTATTGCTGGGTATACTACTCCACAGATAATTATCCCTCTTGCTTCAACTCCTCCCAGACCATCTTTTCAGGACTTCAGTCAGTTACAGTCCCAGATTTGTTAGCTTTAAGAGCAGTTTGGAGCTTTATCTACCAGGGCTAGCTCTTCTATTCCCACGGCTACTATAGCTACAGGTACTCCTTCTGCTTTTCATGTTAAAGCAGGAAAACCTACTTGGGTTCTAGATTCCGGAGCCAATGATCACATGACTGGTGAGTTGTCATTATTTTCTACTCCCGTTACCCCTGTTAATCAGGCTGTTAGTCTAGCCGATTAGTCAACCACCATTATTCGTAGTAAAGGAGATGTTCATCTATCCTTGATGTTTTATTTGCCATCTGTTCTTCATGTTCCTAACTTTGCATTTAATCTTCTACCTGTTAGCAAACTTGCCAAATCACTAAACTGTGCAGTGATTTTCTTTCCTCATTAATGTGTTTTACAAGACCCGTGTTCGAAGAGGATTTTTGGTAGGGGATATGAGCACGATGGCCTCTACTACTTTAGGAATCCTCCACAGACACCTCCTCCGCTTGCTTCAAGCCTTCAAGCCTCTGTTCTTCCAATTTCTAGATCTTATGATTTTTCTTTTTAGACTTTAAATTTATGGCATGCTCGCCTTAGGCATGTAAACTTTCAGTATTTATGTCTACTTTTCCCTTCATTAATAACGGCTTGTAAGGATAATAAGTTTCAATGTGAGATTTGTGAGCTTTCTAAACATACTAGAACTAGTTATTTCTTATATGCATGGTGCACCTAGTATGTTTGTTCTCATACATTCTGATGTGTGGGGTCCTTCTCCTGTTGCTGCTTTTTCGGGGCATCGTTATTATGTCACATTCATTGATGATTATTCCCGTTGCACATGGGTATATTTTCTTAAAAAGAAATCTAAAGTTTTTCCCTTGTTCACTCAATTCCTCCAAATGATCAAAACTCAATATAAAACTATTGTTAGGAATATTAGGTCTGACAATGGTTGTGAATATGCTTCCAATGAGTTTCCGGTCTCAACTTAACCAACGGGGTATTCTTCATCAACTTACTTGTCCATATACCCCTGAACAGAATGGTGTGGTAAAGCGTAAAAACTGCCAACTAATGTCAGTTGTTCGATGTCTTGAAGTGGTATGAATGTGCCAAAGTCATACTGGCACATGGCGGTTCTTACAGCTACTTTTCTCATTATCATACCCCTAGTAGAGTATTAAATGGAAAGGACCCCTCACAAGTGCTTCAGCCTGATATTACTCTCTTTTCCATCATGCCTCGGGTGTTTGGATGTACATGTTTTGTTTAGAATCGTAGCCCTTCTCATACTAAACTTGATGACAAGGCCATTAAATGTATCTTTTTAGGATACTCTTCAATGTCAAAAGGTTACCGGTGTTATGATCGTGTACACAAACACATGTATCACTCTCTTGATGTCACCTTTCATGAGCATACCCCTTTTTATGGTTCTAACACTATCTTGCAGGAAACTTCTACTCCCGATCAAGAGGTTTCTCCTCTTGCTCGTCCTCTTCCTATTTTTCAAGAAGAGTCTTCTCTTGTGGTTTCCTCACCCCCTTTGCGGGTCATATGCCCACCAAGTGTCCTCCCAAAGGCGAATACACCTATCGGTGCAAATGTCTCTTAATAATCAACATCAAATGTCCTTGTGAATTCTTAGGCAATCAATCTTGTATCTATCAATTGTCCTATCTAAATTCTGTTTGAGAGTGAATACCCACTTGCAAAGCACTTTCATCTCTTTTACCATAACTTCTTTTTTTTTTTTTCCCTTTAGGATCTGCAAGAGCATCCTACCAACCTTTAGCTCTATACATGGGCTCTGGCACATGGAGTGTGTGGAGCATATGTAGCTCCAGGACTTGATAAGGGATTTTAGAATCATTAGTGATGGGCCCACCTGGCTGTATTGTGATCACAAGGCAGCTATTGGTGTTGCACACTGCCCAATTTAACGTGGTAGAACAAAATATATTGAGATTGACAGACAATTCATTAAGTAATCGTAACTCATATCATAATAAATATAAATATAAATATATGTGGGTTCCGAAAGCCCTTTTCATTAAGAGACCTGTAAGGCCCAATGAACATAGAAAGATAGGTTCGAGAGGACCTGCTTCGCCAGACACCTTGGATTGAAGCATCCCTTCCCCCCGCTCTCAACCGCCGGATCCAAGAAATCGAGGTGAGGGTATTTCCCTATCCAATCCTTGCTTACATTCTCTCTTTCTCTACTCTTATCTCTCTCTTCTCTCCCCAACAACACCAACCCCCAAGGAATTGTTTGCACCCAATACAGTATTACATTTCAAATGCTACTAATAGTATAAACTAATAATTCTAAAGCAAATCCAGCCTGGTGCTGAGCCCTGCTCTAGTTTTGCACAAACCATCACATGCCATCCCAAGAGTTAAGACAGACTATTCCAACTCAACTTCAATCCAGAGAGAGACTTTATAAGGAGCAGATTGGAGAAGATAAATCCGTGTAGCTGAAAATAGTAGTTGGAATGAAGGTTTGTTGGTTTGAGCATAACTTCAATTCGGAGAAGAAATTATTGATATAAATAGAGAATTGAGTTTACTGTTCTCTGTCTTGGCACTTGAGATGTGGTTAAGCTAAATCCTTCCTAGAAAGAAAAAAAGAAAACAGAACATTTAGCAACTATTAATGCAAATTTATTATTATTTTTTAATTAGTTGGGTGTGGTATATTATCTATAATTGATTTGGATTTTTAACAGTATAGGTTAGATGTGATGTTGTGAACCATTAAAATTAAGTATTTAGTTCTTTATTATTATTTTTCCTGATTTAGTTCTTTACTATTAGATGAATCATATTTTTTTCACTTTGCATGTTCAGACCTTGGCTGCCACTAACATGACCGATCAAGAACTCACGGAAAGTATGCAAAAGCTGCTTTTTGTTATGCAAAGACTAGATCAAAAAATTGCACCAATGTTGGAAGCAGATGGGGAGCATTTCAACAGAAGGTAAGTTGAGGTTGGAGAATGTGTTACTTTGAATCACTTGTCTTTCCTTAAATTCTCAAACTGTCAATTTATCATTGGTTACAATTAGTTCTACCCTCTTATTACTGGAATTGTCTTCAAAGTGGGGCTGTGTTTGTCATTCAGTAGCATTTGACAAAATATAATATTTGACTGAGGCTCTAAGAATTTGCTAAGCTAGATCACTTTTTTCACTGATTACTTGATTAATGCTCCAGTAATTTGGCACGTTGAATGGTCAACAATTAAGTATCATTCACCTCATCTAAGTTTATTTATTATTGAATTTTTGGTCGTGCACCTCAGCTAAGCTGAGAGGGTGGGCCCTGGCACAATGGTAAATTGCTCCTGACCTGGAGATAACAGGTTTGAAACAAGGAAACAGTCTCTCCGCATGTGGAGGTAAGGCTGCATACATCTTACCATCCCCAGACCCCGCAAGGACAAGAGCTTCGTGCATTGAGCTAGCCCTAGACCTCAGCTAAGCTGAAATGTGCAAAGGTGTCGTCAAATTAAGTTCATCTTTGCTTGATTCACCCAATCACATTGTACTACTAAATATCTGTTTAATTTACAGTCCCTCTTTGTCAATTGAGATTGGGGCTAGGGTTAGGGAGATCAAATGTTCTGGAAACTTGTTTTTTCCTGTCTTCAATATGCATTTTTCATACTGATTAATTTTAAAAAGTTGATTTGTGAAGATACTGCAAATGTCCCATGCCCATGCTCTCTTGTTGAAAGGCATGTGTATTGTCGGGTTTTATGCCTCCATTTTTTTTCGTCATTGTCTCAGCAACGAAACAAACAAATGAGGACAATTGTATTAAAGTTCTGTTATCTTTTCCTTAGCAAGGGGCCATTGCTTGTTCTCATTTGTGAAGAGGACAGGTTTTTGTCCGAAAGCAGTCACTTTGCACAAAATATTATTTTACCCAAATTAATCATTTATCCATAAGATGCAAAGTTAGGTGAGCCAGAACAGGTTAGGCATGTATCCATAAAATTAAATACCTTGACCAAGATCCATTATAGGCAGGCCAATAGGAACACCCAATAAATGAAAAAGTGTGTTTTTATCCTCCTTTTAACAGGGGATAGACATCCTTGCCCTCTACCTCAGGCATTCCAAAATGAAGACCTAAATCTGGATCGGTGTGCTCCATTGCCGATACCTTTTCTACCATCAGACACTATAAAGGAGAGAAAAAGATATGAAACAAATCAAAGAAAAGGTGTAATGTGGGGCAAACGTTAGGGGGCTCGTGGGCACCACACCCCAAAAGTTGTGTCTATGTGCACTAAGGAAAAACCTTAGGGGGTGTCAGTGTAATTTACCCAAAAACTAAAATAAAATAATATTAGGAATCATGCAGACAAGATTTTGGACAGGTGAATTATCTCTCTCCATAAGTGTGTGCGTGTGTGTGCATGTGTATGTATGACACATTTGGGCTTGGATCTGACCTGTTGATTCGCTTTTGTGTTAGGTGGGGTTTTCTGTCACGTGCAGGTCTTTGGGACAAAAGCCACTTAATGCGACAAATTGAGAAGTATGCCCTTTTGTTCTAATATTTTTCTGTTCAGTTCTTGATACCTTCAATTCCAATGGTGCAAGAGTTGAAATAATAATTTTGAATATCCTTTTAAATTTTGATTTTTTTCCCTTATACTTATCTCAAAATATGGATTGTAGGTATGCTGATATTTATACTTCTAGGGTTTCCAATTTTCTCCATTATACACCCTTTATGTATTTCCGTTCCCAGGAACAGGTATTCAAGTGTATTGTTTTCTGGATAGTTTTCTTTTTTTAACCGTCATAGCTGTACAACTGATTTTATTTAGATGTTGGACATGATACAGCTGAGTAGTTATAACTCTTCTTTATATTTTTTTATTTGATAATCACTTCGGTTTTTTTTATCTTGGTAAATGCATGTATGGCATTCAAACAACATTGTTGTGCTATATACAATGATTATATTGGTGCTTTGATACTATGTATTTGATATGTTGGCTGCAACATTATCAGTATGGCCTCTTTACTAGTGTAATCATATTAATACTCCGTAGAAAACTTTGTCCCATTTACTTTTCAGTTGGCTGTCTTAGGTTGTTTTCCAAACCCAAAAGCTGCAGCTTCTATGTCTCCCTCACCGAGTCCCTTGCGCCCTCTCAAAGGGGACCCACTCAACCACAAGGGACCCATGTCGCCAAGTGGTGCCTTGGGCTTGCAGCTTGCTCTGACACCACATGTCATGGGTTAGTTTTCAACCAAAAAACCACAGCTGCCAGGGGGAGGGACAACAGCCTCTTACATGCCCAGGATCATTCCATTGTGTGTGTGGGACTGTGAATCAGTGTTAGACTCTCACGCCCAGTTTCTTGTGCCCTTGACTTGGAAAAAGAGACCCGCGCCTTTGTGTGGGGCCCACATAGCCATTAGGGACCCACATTGCCACATGGCATCCTGGGCTGGCTTTGATTCCACATCTCTAGGGTTGGTTTCCAGGCCAGAAGCTACACCTGATGGGAGGAGGGTGTAAGAGTCCTAAAATTAAAATGACGGATAAGGAATATATATGTGTATAAAAAGGGCAGGTGCCACATGGCACCTACCTAGGCCAAGATGAATGATGTCCCAATTTGTGACACCAAGTTCTTGAAGTAGGCGAGTGCTATGCAACATGGCACCCGCCCATGCTTCTTTCAGGGGAAGTGCCATGCGCGTCAAAATAAAGGGCTAGTGTATTACCATACACTTGCCCACACAAAATAATGGTCAAATGCTATGCACTTGCCTACTTGCCCATTTTCCTATCCAAAATAATGGGCAAGTGCCCCCGCCTGCCCACTTGCCCATACAAATGAGCAAGTGCCATCCACTTGCCCATCACTTGCCCATTTGCCCATACAAAATAATGGCCAAGTGCCATGCATGGCACTTACCAACTCACCCCAGGAATAATCTGCACAAGATGAAAAGAAAGACACTCAGTATTAAGTGTGGGTTTAGCAGGAACCTAGGGTATCAGGAGGACCACAGGTAGATCCATGATGGGATCGGGTAGGACTATAGGTTATGGCGCGCCTAATATTGACGACACGTCATAGGGGGTGAGGTTAAAACATATAGTTCGGGGTCACCAACTACTAGGAAACATGATAACAGAGGCGATATGCGCCTAGGTATGGTAGTTGTAGTGGCAAGGGTAATACTAGGCAGTGTAGGTTAAAACGTGAATCATGGCACGTTACACTAAGGTATTGCCCAATAAGTATTGGCACTTGCATGCAAAGTATCTGAGCTCTAAGTATGGCGTCTACCACAACATAAGGAGAGCAGGCTGGAAAAGGGGTTCTTGAGGCATGGTGGATTGAACAAGGGGCTTGGCCAGGCGAAGTGGAGGTAGGTCCTTGACCTACGACTCAGGTGGATGATTCACTCGCGTCCAAGCCAAAGGAGTAAAGGAGGGACACGTGGCACCTTAATAGGCTGACACGTGGCGGATGACACGTGGTTAACATGTGCCAAAGGCTTTATAAATAGCAATATAGTGACGTGATGGGCTCATTCAGGACATATGGCCTCGAGACTCTGCCACTCGCCCAACTCTCTTAATTTTTCCTTTACCTAAGTTCTCTCCCTTACACTCTGATCCTTTTTGTACTTAAAAGTCTTCTTTGAGAATACCTCACTTTCAAGATCTTTGCACTCCTACAGAGCGTACTAGCCACACCTGATGGGAGGAGGGTACAAGCCACACCTGCTGGGAGGAGGGTACAAGCCACACCTGATGGGAGGAGGGTACAAGCCTTCTTACAGTAATAAGGAAGACTAGAAATTCTCCAATCACTGTTGGAGCCTAGATTTCTAAGGGAAATTTGGTATTGATTTTGACTTGAATACAACAAATATAGATGTTTGTCCTTTTTATAAGAAGACTATAAATGACAGTTTAGTTCTCTAGACTGACTTTTGGACTACCCACAAAGCATTAACAACAACTTCTATTCCCAGGACAGTTTTTCTCATTACCATAATTAAAACCTTGACTAGACACTCAATTGTCTGCATCAGGGTCGTATAAGCCATGGAACGTTATGCAAGAAACTCATGATGGTACTAATTGTTGTCAGGGGCTTATTTGTTATTACTTATATAATGTTGGGGCTTATTTGTAATTTCTTAAACTTGTTATTATAAATAGAATGTGGTGGAAGGATGAAAGTATTCTTTCTCTCTTTCCCCATCTCTCTCTCTTTTTCTCCCATCCGCTTTCTTCTTCTTCTTTATCACTTACTCTTGATTTGATTATATCTTAAAGTCAACATGGTATCAGAGCATGGCTTGTAAAGCTCTAGGTTTGTAGTTGAAGGGCAAGTTTGTGTAAACCCTGGTGGGTGTGAAGGGTTTTGAAGAGATTCCAAGATGGGATCTGTTTGCAAGGAAGTAGTGTTAATCACATCCACATGTACTACGGATCCAACTCCGCGATGAGTTGGCTGGGGTTGCAGGGGGAGCGCGCCCCTAGTCTCGCCCAGGAAAATTTTTTATTGGACCTGTTTTTTATCTATTGCAGACTCGATCGGTGTTTTTTTGTGTTCGCGAGGTTCTACACTAGCGGCTTTTTCTTCGTCATTCGCAATTCTAGTATGGTCTACTTTGTTGCTTTCTAGGGTTTGTGTGCTGACTGTGTGGTCGCTTTTTTATGCATCTCAGAAGACGGTAATCATTTTAGTTGAAGTTTGTGTGTTAGAGTGGTGGTTCTCTACGTATTTTGTTGCTGTTTTTGTTTCTGAGGATTGTATACCCAGAAATTGTTTGATAAATTGTCTGGCTCAGAGGTGACTTCAAAAGAAGCTGGGTCATCTCCTAGTTTGACTCTAGTATTGGGAGGTAGTAGTGATCACCATCCAAGCCTTTATATTATGACTGTTAGGCTGGATGAGACGAACTATATGGAGTGGGCTCAATTTGCTCGTATACATATCATTGGTTGTAGGATGATCAACCATATCGAAGGGACTGTCACGTATTTCTCCAAAAGTGATCCTAAATTCAAATAGTGGAGTGCAAATAATACACTAGTTATGACGTGGTTGTTGTAGTCAATGTAGCCACAGATCAGCAAAGGGTTTCTGTTTGTGAAAATAGCTAAAGAGTTATGGACGGCTGTGGAAGAGATGTATTCCTCGGTTGGTAATTTTGCAAAACTGTATGAACTCCAACAACAGATTTCAAGATTCAAGCAGGAAGACCAAACTCTTGCTATATATTACCACACTCTACGTGGTAAATGGGAAGAGTTAGATCACTACCAAGACTACATACCTGTGTGCAGTTGATGTTAAAGCATTTCGTCTATGGTAGAAAGGAATCGAATCTATGAGTTCTTGGGTGGTCTGCATCCGAGATACGAGCATGCCAGGGTACAAGTGTTAGGCAGGTATCTGGCCCCTACTTCTATTAGAGATGTGTTTTTGTATATCCAGGCTGAGGAGAGTAGAATGAAGGCTATGTCTGCACCTATATACACTAAGTCTGAGTCATAAGTACCATTGTCTGAGAGGTCTGCTCTTGTCACACAACAAGGGAACAAGCCCAATCCTCCAAAAGGAGGGAAACAGGATGACAAAAGCAAGTTGAGGTGTGATCGCTGTGGGCGTACGCGCCACACTAGGGAAACATGCTGGAATCTACATGGTCGCCCTACTCCAACTCCTATTAATGTGAATGCTAGGCTAAGGCCTAGTCCATTTAAGGGGTTATCTATGGCATATACTGCAGAGCTTGAGACTGCTTCTACTGGTCATGCCTCCTCAAGGCTACCGAGTTCTTTGTCCGAGGCTGAACTTGATGCTCTCCGACATCTACTAGCACAACATTCCTCTGTTACCACCTCTAACTTCGCTCAGACAGGTACCTCTCATTCGGCACATCAGGTTTCCACATTATCTGGTGGTCTGGTGGGCCACCCTGGATCATGGATTCAGGAGCCACTAATCACATGACTGGTACGACATCTGATTTTTCTTCGTACAGTTTATATTCTGGTAAAGAGAAGGTTAGAGTGGATGATGGAACCTTCACTTCTATTGCGGGGAAGGGCATTGTTTCTGCCTCTCCAAATCTTACCTTATCCTTTATTCTTCATGTCCCAAAGTTTATCAATAACCTCCTTTCTGTCAGTTACATTACAAAATGCTTGAATTGTAGTGTAACCTTTTTTCTATCTCACTGTGTGTTTTAGGATTTGGACAAAGGGAAGACGATTGGATGTGGACGTGAGGACAATGGCTTATATTTATTGAACGCGGGGCAAACTTCTTATTATGTTGCAAATCAATCTAGTGTTAGTGTTAAATTTTGGATGCAGAAATAAGAAATGCAAATAGGAAAAGGTAAGAGAGAAATATAGAGAATATAGGCATATACATGGTTCGGCACTAAGGCCTACATCCATGGACAAAGAGCCACTAAGGACTACATTTTTATTATTTAGATGTATATTGCTCGAGTACAAAGAGCTTATTTATGGACATGGTAAAGATAAGAATATATGGAAGGTGTATAATAGTCAAATGAGGCACCATGATTGGTGGAGGATTTTGCTCCACAATTATATAGAAATATTTATATATTTCAACACTACCCCTCAAATTGGAGCATGAGTATCATGAATGCCCAACTTGTTAAAGAAACGCCTTGAAAGATGATGAGAAGGTGTCCGGAACAAAGCTAGGAAAATGACCAGATCTTGCGGGGAAA